TTCAGTCCTGACTAATGCAGTTTTATTGGTTGGGTGTTTGCACCTTTAACACCGAAATGCTGCTGTGAGGGATTAGAAGGAGCTGTCCTTTCAGCACCACCAGGCCTTTTACAAACTGCCATGAGCAACATAAGGTTTAACAAAACAAGGTGCTGCAAATGGATAATTAAGAAACTACTAACAGATGTTTATTTATGTGTTTATTATTTAACACAAGTCCTGATTTCTACTCTAAAGAAGGTAAATTTGATATATTTCAACCACATATCCTCCTTATGGGCATCAGTTCTTAAACAAAATGCATCACCTTCTTATTACCACACATCTTTTTTCTATGTATTCTGCAACCAGCTCATTTTTATTACTTGTATGCGAATTAAAATATTTGGCTAGAGGTTGTTTTAAATGTTTATGAAGCTATATAGAGCTTCTTTTTGTGTTGTACTGTATTGCCAATCTAAGTCGCAGCACATTAAGCTGCAGTCATACAGTGTGTCAAAATATTTGACACCACTGTGCCAGGAATGGCTATTCAAAATGAGTTCTGTCTGTTACAGAGAGAGCAGGGATGAATTAAGGCTGGGAGGCAAAGACTCTGCTCTGCTCTGCTGGTACAGAGCCAGAAGAGAAGGAAGGGGGGAGGCATAGAGGGAAGGAGAGAGAGAGAGAGAGAATATGAGAGAGCCGAAGAGAGCAGAAGAGAGGAAATCAATACCGATTCAGAGCGAGTCAGATAAGCCTGAACAATGTATAGTGCAGACGCACTCTATAACCCAGTCTTACACACACACACGTGTGCATGTGGAAGCATTTGCACAGACATACGCGCATGTATGTGTGCACACGCACTCAATGAAATGTGCTTGCAGGCCTTCCATAAAGATGCATTACAAACCCCATAAAGCATAGCAACCTTTAAAATCAAATGACATCACAACCTTGGATTGCTTTGAGGATTCGCTGACTTAAACAGAAAGCACTTACTCTGTCTCGGCAGGCAGCTGGATGCTCTGGTGCCCTTTGTCTACTGTAAGACCCTCCTAGGCTGTGATCTCTTTGTGTTTGTCTTTAGATATCAGCCTTCAAGCCCTGATTTCACTTGTTACAAATCTACAGTCGTGTTTCTTTTCTAGCTTCATAAATATCTGATTCGAGTTCTCAGCAGTGGGAGTCTACAGCATCCTTGTTGGTGTCAGAACTGTGCTATTGATGTTTCACAGGATGTTTAGGGTGTAAACAGCATTTTTGAAAACCACTTACACACCCTGTGCTGTGGGGTTTAGGCAGGAAGACTGCTGTGTGGTCCTCAGCTGTTAACCACAGATTTGACTTTGCTTACCTAGAAGATGCTGTTACAAGTGCTAACACAACCGCTGTCTGCCTCTCTCTTTCTTCCCCATCTCGCCTCCGTCTCTCTTAAACTTATCAATTATTAAGGTCGGTATTGATCCTTTCACTACCCTGCCTCTATCTGGCTGTTCACACAAAGCCCAAACCTGCCTGCCCTTACTCAATCAATGGCATCTCCCAGCTCCTGCAGCCCTTTTTTCCACATGTCAGTTTTGCTTTTCTTGCTTCTGCACTTAAACCAAGTTGACTGAAGTTTTGTCCATTCCAGTTTTTCCCATTTGGATTCCTCAGAAAATATGAGAAACAGAATACCGACATTAATCTCTCATGGCACGAGTAAGTTTGATGGGCATTAAGAGATGGCTCTGGTAAGAGGTAAGATGATAGAAAATGGCTCAGTGCATTGTTTGACTAGCTCTCATTTATCCTTTCCTCCACTGAGCGTTTTGTTTTTTGTTTTGTTTTGTTCTGTGGCGCCGAGCTCCTCGAGCCAAACAACCTGCCCGTCTGCCTGTTGCCAGGTTAACCACTGAAAGATTAGTGATATTATTGTCATGTGCTGCAGAGAAGAAGAGAGGAGAGAGAGAAACACAGAAGGAGAGCACCAGGGAGTGGGAGAGAAGGGGGTTGGGAAGGGGAAACGGCCTTATTGATCTCCTATGTGCAAAGCCAGGCAAACACTGAAAGGACAGAGCAACACTATTAATGACACTCAAAGCCTCAGCTTCTAATCCTCATCTATCTATCTATCTATCTATCTATCTATCTATCTATCTATCTATCTATCTATCTATCTATCTATCTATCTATCTATCTATCTATCTATCTATCTATCTATCTATCTATCTATCTATCTATCTATCTATCTATCTATCTATCTATCTATTGTGCCCATTTTTCCTTATTGGATTGCATTATCTTGGCATTTCACTGATACAGTGAAATCTTATTGGTTTGGACAGCTATTCCTTTCAGTAGCACCATCTCATAACAAATATGTCATTTTAAAGGGGGGAAAGGGAAACATTTCCTATTTGTTTTGTTAGTTTTTGTGGCTTTCAGCTTCACAAACTCTATATTCTCTACATTTTCTTGTTTGTACTTGTCCACGTTATCAATCCCCGCCCCAGTTTACAATCAATATTTCATCAGAACAGTTTGTGCAGCTCAAGGTTGCTTTGAAATAGATCTGGTGATCACATCTATGGGCTGCAGTAGTATTTTTCACATATTTCATTTTTTAAAATAAATATTTAGGTCTACATGTTTAATTTTCTGAATGGACACCGGGTTGGAGTGTTAGTGATTCAAAGTTTGAAGTTTTAAAACACTGAAAATCACAGTTTCATTTTGCTGTCCTGAGTTTAATTTTTTTTTTAAGCGAACCCTGTATCATACCTGCCCCTGTTCTAAATGTAAAGCTCGTGCTACATGGCACTAAATGAAAAGCGGGAGAGATCTTGCGGTTATTGCGTCTTTCAGCTCCGATACGGGCATCGATCGGTGTGCCACATTTAAAAGGGAGAGTGGGAACTGGCGTATTGATCAGGCAGCCTGGGGTCACCCCGCTATTCTCGCGCGCAACTGGTTGGCCCCACCGAAGCGCGCGCGCGTGCGCACGCACAAACACAAGCTCGTAAAACAGGCGTCTTGGGAGGACAACTATTTCGAGGTTTTATTGTGAATCAATTGCGATTTGCTGTGTGTAGATCAAAAACTACAGGCCTGCAAATTTAGTTTACAACAGCAAGTGTGGTGGACGCAAATGTGCTCCAAGTAGTCGCTATCAGGCGATATAGTGGGATGCAAAGGTTTGGGTAACCTTGTTAATAGTCATTATTTTCCTGTATAAATCGTTGGTTGTTACAATAAAAAATGTCAGTTAAAAATATCATATAGGAGACACACACAGTGATATTTGAGAAGTGAAATGAAGCTTATTGGATTTACAGAAAGTGTGCAATAATTGTTTAAACAAAATCAGGCAGGTGCATAAATTTGGGCACTGTTGTCATTTTATTGATTCCAAAACCTTTAGAACTAATTATTGGAACTCAAATTGGCTCGGTAAGCTCAGTGACCCCTGACCTACATACACAGGTGAATCCAATAATGAGAAAGAGTATTTAAGGGGGTCAATTGTAAGTTTCCCTCCTCTTTTAAATTTCTCTGAAGAGTAGCAACATGGGGGTCTCAAAACAACTCTCAAATGACCTGAAGTCAAAGATTGTTCACCATCATTGTTTAGGGGAAGGATACAGAAAGCTGTCTCAGAGATTTAAGCTGTCTGTTTCCACAGTTAGGAACATATTGAGAAAATGGAAGACCACAGGCTCAGTTCAAGTTAAGGCTCGAAGTGGCAGACGAACAAAAATCTCAGACAGACAGAAGCGACGAATGGTGAGAAGAGTCAGAGTCAACCCACAGACCAGCACCAAAGACCTACAACATCATCTTGCAGCAGATGGAGTCACTGTTCAACCATTCGGTGCACTTTACACAAGGAGATGCTGTATGCGAGAGTGATGCAGAGGAAGCCTTTTCTCCGCCCACAGCACAAACAGAGCTGCTTGAGGTTTGCTAAAACACATTTGGACAAGCCAGCTTCATTCTGGAATAAGGTGCTGTGGACTGATGAAACTAAAATTGAGTTATTTGGGCATAACAAGGGGCGTTATGCATGGAGGAAAAAGAACACAGCATTCCAAGAAAAACACCTGCTACCTACAGTAAAATATGGTGGTTCCATCATGCTGTGGGGCTGTGTGGACAGTGCAGGGACTGGGAATCTTGTCAAAGTTGAGGGACACATGGATTCCACTCAATGTCCAGGAATCAGTGACAAAGCTGAAGCTGCGCCGTGCTGGATCTTTCAACAAGACAACGACCCGAAACACTGCTCAAAATCCACTAAGGCATTCATGCAGAGGAACAAGTACAACGTTCTGGAATGACCATCTCAGTCCCCAGACCTGAATATTATTGAAATCTGTGGTGTGAGTTAAAGAGAGCTGTCCATGCTCAGAAGCCATCAAACCTGAATGAACTACAGATGTTTTGTAAAGAGGAATGGTCCAAAATACCTTCAACCACAATCCAGACTCTCATTGGAACCTACAGGAAGCGTTTGGAGGCTGTAATTTCTGCAAAAGGCGGATCTACTAAATATTGATTTCATTTCTTTTTTTGTGGTGCCGAAATTTATGCACTTGCCTGATTTTATTTAAACAATTATTGCACACTTTCTGTAAATCCAATAAACTTCATTTCACTTCTCAAATAACACTGTGTGTGTCTCCTATATGATATTTTTAACTGACATTTTTTATTGTAACAACCAACGATTTATACAGGAAAATAACGGCGATTAACAAGGTTACCCAAACTTTTGCATCCCACTGTAACTATTCCTAGAGATCCGAGGGAAACACAAATAGATTTGTTCGCTGTCTTTACACAAATCACATTCGCTTCCGGTTGAAGGAATTGCGGGTATGGCTAATTACGTTGATGAAGCTGCTGTGCCTCTGCGCACCTTTGCTGGCTGAACTGTCCGTGGTGCTGAATCCTTCTATTTTATTTGAGAGGCGACGGTGGAAGACTGAACGCTTTTTATGTGAAGCAATAATGCTGAAGGGATTGTATATTACCTGCTAGCCTGAGAGCAGACATCCGCTGAAACTCGGGCTCCTGCAGCCACTTCCACATCCTTCTGAAGGTCTCCCGTCCTGACTTGAGCTTACTCCAAGGTTTGGGGTTCCGTAGCAGGTCCGAGAGGGTGCCCTGCGACCGGCTTAAGATCCTCTGGGCGAATATGGCCTGCGGGATGGAGTAGCGCTTCAACTCTGCTGTTATTCTCTGTGCCACCTCCTTAGTGTTGATCTCCTCGGCCTGAATGCCTGACCCTGATACTCCTTGGCTGGGTCCATGGCCGTGTCTCTCCCGGTCCCCCAGCATTACTGCACCGTTTGCTTGCGAGTGAAGGTGACTGTGCGGGTGATGATGCATGCCGCTGATGTTGGAGATCATGCCGTGGCCATGTCCCCCTAAACTCCTGGCCAGATGCTCTTGGTCACTTCGGGACAGCATGGATGCGTGGGTCTCGAAGCCTGACACCGGAGAAAGCATCTTGGGGTCGGCGGGGAGGTGCGCGCTGGGCCCGTAGGCTGAGAGCGGCTGCTGGGAGTTGTGCAGAGAGCCCAGCCCGCTGGAAAGCGGGGACAGCGAGCCGTGGCCCATACCGGACACGGACATTTCTTTAGAGTAGTGACTGTACAGATTGCCCATGGAGGTAAGACCACGGTGGTCGTCCCGCATCAGTGTGAAGCTCCCACTCACGTTCCCGGCCGAGAGTCGTTGGTGGGCGGCAGCATGGTGGTGTGAATGCGGGTGGTGAAACTTGTCCGCCACTGTGGATATCGGAGGTAGATGCTGCAGGGGGGTTAGAGTTGTGTATGTGTTGCTAAGGCTCATCCCGGTTTCGCACATGCTGATGGACGGGTGCAGGTGTCCGGACAACGCGGACGGGTCTGTCCGGTAGTCTCCCCCAGACCCCTCCAGAAGCGAGGGCATGCCGGAGACCATGGCCGACCGCGCGCCGGGAGCGTGCGAGACCAGATTCCGGGGAGTAGAGCTGGGGGACGGCGATGGCCGAGCATGCGGAGAGTTCATGAGGTCTCCCGCCTGGGAGTGTGACGAGACGCTGTGAAGGTTCTCCATGGTGAGCTCCATGGCTGAAAGCATATATGTTCCCTTGTCCCACCCTCCCACCGTCTCCCCCTGTCTCTCCCTCTCACCGCTCTCTCACTCTCACTCAAACACACGCACGCTTTCTTACCCTCTAGCCCTACCGGAGCAATAAAAATACCAACCCGTTAGAATGCCAATCCATTGATAACAATTATCCGACCAGTCCGGTGAGGCGAGGACGAGTTCTGTTCTGTCTGAAGCAGACACGGGACCGAGCGCCTCAGCGGCGTCGTGGCGTTCATGTGGCTAGGAGCTCTCCAGGGCTGTATCTCATCTCTGGTCCAACAGCGCTTCCACTAAGAGCAGGCTGAGCCTCGTACCAGAGAGCTGGGAGCGCGCATCTGTGTATTTCAAATATTGGGCGGACACGAGCAGAGTCCTCCTCGCGGTCTACCTGTCCGAGTTTAAAACACAACGAGTCTAAATACAAAAAAATTTGAAAACAAAAAAACAAAATATCCGAGTTTTATCTGAGTCTGCATGATTATAGTTTGCAGAAGATTTAAAAATCCCCCATAGAGCAGAACAACCTTTGTCATTTGATAGCGCGTGCATGTGCGCCTTCACCTGTGTGCGCGTGGCAGACAGTCAGGACAGGTGAGGTCCAGTGACACGAAATTTGTGTAAAATACAGTTGGTATCTGTTTATGGACGCGGGAGTTCCTAACAGATAAACTTTGTTTTCCCACGGACTGTATGGTTTTGCATTTATGCGCTTAGTGATAAACCTGATCGAAGTATTGATTGACAGAGATTAATGACGTGGCACAGGCCGGTTAGGGTGGTGGAGGGGGCGAGTAAAGGAGGTCACAAAGTTAGGATCGCAACGTTGCAGACCAATAAGAGAAGAGCTTGCTCGTTTGTTCACCAAAGTTCAGCAAATTGGGATTTTCACCTCAGTGACGGATGCGCAAAATGACGAGATTATTTTTATTCCCAAATCGTTCGTCAAGATTTTACAAATTAAAAATTAAATAAATAAATAAATAACAGTTTAGGTAAATGAAGGGAACATTTTAACAGGTAAATAAATTTACAGAACCGATCAGAGCACAGCTTCTTGACTTTTGATCGCGTCTTAATTTTATATGAAATTAGTGATTTGAAGCAATTGAAAGTGAAGCTGTAATGTCTTTATTGAACATAATAATAAGAATAAGAACAAGAACAAGAACAAAAAGGAGAAGGAGAAGAAGAATTGTACACTCATCTTTGCAGACATATATTTATTATTATTTGTCCCTAATTGGACACTCGGACAGTTTCTCGGTGCCGGTGACTGATGTTTATACCATCCGCTTCATTCAGCTCCGACCGATATGCAGATGCTGCCCGTCTGTGTGTGTGTGTGTGTGTGTGTGTGTGTGTGTGTGTGTGTGTGTGTGTGTGTGTGACTTGTAAACGGTTTCCTTAGACATCTCAGTTTTAATCTTGTGCCAGATTTGTGTTTTTTTATTTATTTATTCATTTATAGTTTTTCGAGGCCAACGTGTTTGTATTATAATATTTTATGTATTTGTTTTGTTTTATTTTAGACAGAGAGAAGTGAAGAAACCACAAACCCACGAAAGAAAGACGTGAGAAAGACATCAGCAGTTTTAGGCCTCATCCATCTGTACTGCGGTTAATTTATTACAGAACATAAAATAGATTTTTTTTAAAGGCAGTGTGAATGAAGTCAGCCAAAGTACCAAATTAGGCAAGATACAGAATTTTAAAAATAAATAAATATTATTATTATTATTATTTTACCTTATAACCATTTCTGAAGACATTTATGATGAAAATTTATATTTTTTGTGACTGCATGCTGAACTTTGCTTGTTTTTCGATTATTTTTTATTCAACGTGGAGCTTTATTTACAGGCCTAAAAATAGGAATTGTGGGCTATATTGTAAATATTTCACACCTTGGAACTGTTCGAAAGTAAAATACTTATATGTGATAAGAAAAGCGGACACACACACACACACACACACACACACACACACACACACACACACACTTGTTTTATTAGCAGAGGTGTGCTTTGCCCTCTGTGGCTAAGCTGTTTTTTTGTTTTGTTTTGTTTTGTTTTGTTTTTTTGTTTTGTTTTTATTTATATTTGCAGATGTATTTTTATCAATCAATAATACTGATTGCTATTGGCAAACAATACTTTTTTAGATATAACTATAATATAGAAGGACTTTTTTTTTATTAAAATTAAATCTTCCATTCCAACGAGTCTTTCTGGATTCCATAAAGCTCCGTGGTTAAGGCCCCCCCAAGATGATATTGATCTCATCGCTCTATATATCGATCATCGATCATTTCAGCCTCCATCGGTGCTGTTTCCTAAACACTGAGGCATTTGTTTGAGATCGTTTCAGCGGTGACCTGTAGCGTGTGAATGTTTGACAACAGAAAAATGCTGAAAAATAAATGTCAGCTGTTTGTTTTCTGTTCAAGACAACAGCAAAAAATAAAAAAAAAATAAAACATAAACTCAGCGCGGTTAATAATAATATCCGCCTTGGCCTTTAATTTGGATTCTTGCATTGACGAGGTCCACAAGCAAGAGTTTTTATTCCGTTTTTATTGTTTCATTCGTTGTCGGTATGTGGTACCAAGCCGGAGCTAAACGATCGCAACACATTACACCACACTTTTACGCGCGCGTGTGTGATTGCCAGTGTTGGATGATTGTCAGTGTGTGTGTGTGTGTGTGTGTGTGTGTGTGTGTGTGTGTGTGTGTGTGTGTGTGTGTGTGTGTGTGTGTGTGTGTGTGTAGGATGTTGTAGCTGTATATTCCTGGATTTTTCAGCCAGGTATATTGTATTCAGTGCAGTTTTGATAAACGCAGTGTGGATCTGAGAAAAGTCGCGGTTCCTGTTACATATACAGGGAACCCATTATAACAGAGCAGTAATAAATGTAGCACAACACAGGAAATGATTAGAACCAAATTAAATGTTTCATATGTAGCTTCTGGATGAAAAGAATCTGCTTTCTACAGTTCATCAGCAGAAAAAAAATACATGGTTATAATAATACACAGTGCAGATATTTATCAAAGAAAGACTGACTAGCAAAACCAAAAATGTCCTCAGGCGCATCATTGGTTACCCCGCAGCCTATTTATTGGCAAACACAATAATGGCTTCAGAAACTTTGCTGTATGGTTATCAAAACATGTTAAATTAACTGCATTCTGTGCAAATCTATACTTATTGATTGTAATTTTGTTTCTGTGAGATATGCAATCCACAGCCAAAAATCTAAGCCGTCCACGTGAGGCAGAAACACGAAAGTTTACAAAAAAATATACAAATTTGAAACGAGGTTTTCAGCGTTTTTTAGCTGGTGTGTTGTCAGGAACTGGTGAACGTGCAGCATCCTGTTGGATAAATCCAGCACAGACATTTCACACTCACAGTTGGGGAGCAATAAAGTAAAAGAGTGCATGAAAGAGTGTATATAACGAAGGATTAAATGATATATATATAAACATTTAAATTTATCATTTAATTCTTTGTTACTTTTTAAGTAAATGCGTTTTAATTTTCAAATATTGAGTCAGTCAGTGTCACAGTATATCTTTTTAAAATTCACATAATGAGAAATGCTTTGATAAATTTTTTTAACTTTCTTTGCTATCAGAAGAAACCTCTCTCAGTTTTTCTTACAACATGTGAGACATTGTGAAATTAGCATGATGTTGAAAACCTTGTTTGGAGTGAGGAAAATAAATGTAATCTCCAGTGTTCTGGTTTAAACCTGATATGAAACACTTTATAGATTCATTAAGCGGCGTCTGGGTTTTGCCTGTAACAGTTATATTGCTGTAGTCTGCATATTTTCTAAAGCCTGCTTCTGTCTATAGATAAATTAATTTAATTCGTCTTTGGGTGAGGGAACAATAAAGCCTAAAGACTGAAACTCTGTAGCCTCACTATAGAAATATGTTGGCCTTTTTTTAAATGCAATACGACAGAGAAAAAAATGGAATCATTTAAATATAAGATCCTCATACTTCTGTAGTGTTTGTAAAACAATTAAAAAAACAAACAAACATAAGACTTAAAGTGCATGTTTGCTTTTGCATGTTTTGGTGCTGTTAAGGACTGTGAAGGATCTTAATGGTTAAAGAAAATTAATTTTAATACTGAAATACAGAATACATATTTTAACTCTATATTTTAAATCAAGGATAAACTCCCTGCTTGAGATCCTGAGACCCCACTTTCTCTTTTATTTCTAACTCTCTTTTTTTCAGAATTTCCCAACACAGTAATGGCGACATTTTCATCAATCACATTTCTTTATCAAGTGAAAATGCACAGGAGTACAACTTCTCTAGCATCCATATCCTCACAGGCACCGGTTGCTAAGTAACAGAAGGAGAGATGTATTGAGATTGAGATAGAATAGTCAATCAATTCTCCTGTGAGGGCTGTGTGTGTGTGTGTGTGTGTGTGTGTGTGTGTGTGTGTGTGTGTGTGTGTGTGTGTGTGTGTGTGTGTGTGTGTGTGTGTGTGTGTGTGTGTGAGAACGCCTGCTGCTGCAGTTTGTTGCAGCCTTTAAGAAAAACACTGAGAACAAATGTGTGTTTTCACAGCTCAGAAGTGATGCAAAAGTATTTGAAATGTCTCTTTATTGTAAATAATGTAATCTTCCTAATGGATCACAAATGCTAGGAGAGACCACACTTGTCATTTTTAATCCACGAATATAATGAGAGCGACATCTTCAACCGCTTTATATCCAGAGGTCAAAGGTCACCTCAGCTCTCCTCCAGGGATTTGATCAGTTTTTCATCTGCCATTAGAGGCTTTTGGGGAAAAGTCTTATCTTCACCACACAGAAGTGAAGCAACAGCTTGTTAGGCAAACGTGCCACTGGAAAAACCTTGTGGCGCCCAAAAGGGGCGGATTGGACCTCATTTGTTTCTCCCAAATCAAAGAGCTCCACCAAGAAGAGAAATAAATAAAACATTCCT